TTTTTTTTTTTTTTTTTTTTTTTTTTTTTTTTTTTTTTGAGATAGAGTCTCGCTCTGTTGCCTTGAGTGCAGGGGTGCAATCTTGGCTCACTGCAGCCTTTTCCTCCTGGGTTCAAGCAATTGTCATGCCTCAGCCTCCAAGTAGCTGAGATTACAAAAGTGTGCCACCACACCTGGGTAATTTTTGTATTTTTAGTAGAGATGGGGGTTTTGCCACATTGGCTAGGCTGATGTTGAACTCCTGATATCCAGTGACCCATCCACCTGCCTCAGCCACCCAAAGTGCTGGGATTACAGGTGTGAGCCACCATGCCCGGTTTGCCAGGTTGCATTTCTTAACACATAATTAAGTCAGTTATTCCCGCAACCACCCAGATATCATCTGATTCTCTTGCTTACTGTGAAGTCTACATCCTTGTTCTTCCTCCAGACCTTTCCCCATAAAGCTAAGCTGCTTTATGAACCTTGTATCCCATAAGCCGTTGGCTCCAGGCAGGATGTTTGTACCTTACATGTTGCCATGGTAATGATTATCATTTGAGTGACTGCTTTGTGCTCAGTACTCTGCTGGATGCTGTACCCCACCTTGTCTCTTTTGTGAACCTCACAAGAACTGTGTAAGATAAGGGGTGCTTATTATGCTTGCTGCTAAATAATATGCTCTGTGTACATCATTTAACTTCGGAGCCTCAGATTCTCCTCTTTAAGATAAAGTAACTCACCTGTGTATCAGAATATCCATGAAGTAGGAATTGTGTTTTCTAAACCAAAAAGCCCTGTACAGATAAAAGTTACTATCATACTGGCTTAAATAGGATTTTGTAGCCTGGGAACCATTTATTTAACTTTCCTTTGCTATCCTGATTGTTAACTTATTGTAGAAAAATTTAAAAACATAACAAGGTAGAGTAGTAAAAGGAATCCATGTGTACCCATCACCCAGCTTTGACATTTATCAATTCATGTCAGTCTTATTTTACAACTTTTCCCCTTCTGTTGGATAATTTAAAGCAAATCTAAGGTTTATTATCACTTTACTGGGAAATTTATTCTTTACTGGGAAAATTTAAGCAATCAAATTATAAGCAAATCTGAGGATCACAATTCTTTCTAACTTGACAGGGACCAGTGGTCTCCAGTTGGAGTTCTTTCAAATCAGTATTGGGGTGAAAGAGTTGTTATCTGAGATGTAGTTAGAATTTTAGAATACTAATACAAATCATTTATCATTGACAGTTGACACATAGGATAATAATAGTATATATTTTTAGACAAGTCTTTCAGAACATGGGTCTGACAAAGAAGTAGGTGATGGGCTTGAGAATTTTCATCCCATGTAGAACACCAAAAGGGGTCATTCATGAAAAGGTTTGGACATCGCATTAGCTTATAAGGTAATTGATTGAAAGAGAGGCAAGAGTGGTTAACATGGCTGCTCTCATGTCTTCGCCTTTCCCCTGTCATCGTACACTACCAGGCTAAGAGAACATCCTTTCCTGTGTGACATCTACCATCAACCTTGGCTCCACTTTTCCACTGGAATTTGCACTTACCTAAGAAATGTGGTGCAGGAGTTGGGATATTTCATATTAGGTTTATGAAAAATACATATAGCTCCCCAAGAAGTTTAAAAATATGGTATAGTAAAGTTTTTTTTTTTTCTTTTTAATATTTATTTTGGTGACTATTTCAGTCAAGCTGCAGTTTCAGCTCAGGCCACATCAAATGTCAACCCAACCCAGCCTACTGCTTCACAGCCTCTAAATTTGGCACATGTTCCTGGAGAAGAACCCCCACCAGCTCCAAACCTAGTGGCCCAAGAAAATCAACCCATGAATGAAAATGTTCAAATGAATGCACAGGGAGGCCCAGTACTAAATGAAGAAGACTTCAATCGAGACTGGCTAGACTGGATGTACACGTTCTCACGAGCTGCGATTCTCCTTAGCATTGTATACTTCTATTCTTCTTTTAGTCGGTTTATCATGGTAATGGGAGCCATGCTACTGGTTTATTTGTGAGTGATGTTTATTAACTTTTTGTGGTTTCTTTTAATTTCTGCAACTGTTCAGCACAGAATCTGGTCTGTTGTGAATTTTGAGTGAAGGAATATGAATGCTGGGCTTTAGATATCTAGCATGTTTTTGATACCAAAAGCAAGGGCAGGTTTTGTTGAGTGAGAATATTTATCAGAATTATTTAGAAGCAGAATTTTTGTTTACTGCATTTTATAAAAATTGTTTATTCAGTGAGACATACTCTATCCATTATTTAGAATTTAAGAAATATATGATGCACTACTGCATAAAGCCATCCTCTTTGATTAGAATTGCCAACAGTAAGCCCTATAGGTATAAACCAGATTTTTTTTTTGTAGCTAGACTATTTTTCCCCTGCTCCCTTCTCTCCAAGGGGCAAACAAATATCTAAGTTGTATTTCATTTTGAAAAATACTAGAAAAGATTTATGATTCCTGATATGTCTTAATAACTAGCATAGAGCCAATGAAGTCCATGATAGACTTAGAGATTTGGGTTTCTTTTGTTTTGCTGTCATTGCTTTGACAAGGGTATTTCACTGGCCTGAAGTGGGAGATTTGGTCTTTTTATTTATTATAGTTCTAATCATTTTTCTCTTGTACGACACTAATTTAAACATTTTATAGTATTACAAATAAAAAGAACTGTGACTTATTTTATTTTCTCTTTATTTTACTGAATAGACACCAAGCTGGATGGTTCCCTTTTAGGCAAGAAGGAGGTCATCAGCAGGCTCCCAACAATAATCCCGAAGTTAACAATGATGGGCAAAATGCAAACAACTTGGAACTTGAAGAAATGGTATGTAATTGAAACTTTTTTATACTTTAGATACAGAGATTTTCCCAGCACTGCATGGCACCAACATGATGAAAGAATATTGGATGGTTGTTCCATAAGTATTTGTGAAATGGCACATCAAAGCAAGTTAACATAAATTGTGGTGGTTTCATCTGGGATAACTTAGAATATAATACCGAATCAGTCATATATTAGAACTAAATGGGAAGAACTAACATTTTTTTCCTGAAAATAGCCTAGAAATAAAATTATACACATGGTGAGCATTTATTGTATTGCATTGGCAGTTGTCCCCTTTATACTGGATCACTGAGGAATTTATCAGTTTTGGCCTTAAAGATTTCTAATGACCACATGTATAGCACTTCATATTCCTTTGTTCTGCAAAGAAGAATTTAACTCTCTTCTATCATGAACTAATACTTGTTCACGTTATGCTTCTTGTTTTGCTTCAAAGGAGCGTCTTATGGATGATGGGCTTGAAGATGAAAGTGGAGAAGATGCAGGTGAAGATGCCAGTGCAATTCAGAGGCCTGGATTAATGGCTTCAGCTTGGTCTTTCATCACCACCTTCTTTACTTCACTAATACCAGAGGGGCCTCCCCAGGTTGCCAATTGACCTGAAAAACTGTGCCAGCTACAAGGAGGGTCTGACTTTAGGAAAGAGGTTTAAATAACAGTGCAATTTCAAAAAAATTTATAACTTTCTTTTCATCATGATGTACAGAGGTGTTTTTTTCTTTAGGCTTCTCATGCATATGAATATTTTAAGCACAAAAGGACTACTAAATGTTTGATTTTTTTTTAAGATCCTAACAGAACATAGTGTAACAATATTGGTCTTCCAGGTGTTACTCATTTCAATTATGTATAGTATACCAAGACAGACCTATTTTTGTGTCTTATTCTTTAAAGAGCTGCTTTATTGGCCAGGCGCCATGGCTCACGTCTGTAATTCCAGCACTTTGGGAGGCCGAGGTGGGTGGATCATCTGAGGTCAGGAGTTTGAGACCAGCCTGACAAACATGGTAAAACCCAGCCTCTACTAAAAATACAAAAAAATTAGCCAGGTGTGGTGGCACTCGTCTGTAATCGCAGCTACTCAGGAGGCTGAGGCAGGAGAATTGCTTGAATCCAGGAGGCAGAGGTTGCAGTGAGCCGAGATTGGGCCATTGCACTCCAGCCTGAGCAACAGAGTGAGATTCAGTCTCAAAAACAAAAAAAGAGCTGCTTCACATATAAATGTCTATAGCTAGTAGCCCAGCCCTTTAATGTTTAATTTGAATAAATATATCTATTTTCTGTGAATTATCTTGAAAGTTTTAAACAGAATGACCTCATAGTTTTTAATAAAGGATATTATTTACCTAAAATGTGCTAGTAGCATCTTGCCCAGCCATAAAGCAATAAACTTCTCAATAATCTTAATTTTGACATTTGAATAAGTAATGGAAACTTTCTATTTTAAGGGCATGTATCCCATCAATTGGAATCAGTACCTTAACAGAAAAAGGCAGCTCTTCAATGGAATTAAAGTGATATAAAATGTTTGATACAGGCAGTACTTTTATAACATAAGATATGCTGGAAATTGCTCCCTGTAATTTTTTAAATAAAAAGTCAATTATGGTAAACATTCTTATGGGATATTTGTTCAAACTCTTCCCCCATTACATGCAAAAATTTATGTGAATTTTAGTAGTTGTTTTGAAGGGTTGAAGTCTTAAAGGTCATTTACACCTCTTTCCATTCCAGATGGATATCTCCTAGTTAGATTGTCTGAAACCTCATTAATTGATTTAAAAATCCCTGTGCAAGCCAATTTAATACGTCATAAGAAGGCAGTTTCTTATTAGATAGCTAAGTAAAACAAATATGGATGGGAGAACTTCATCTCACATGAAATGCACTATTGAGTTATGAGTGTGGTACTGGCCCAGGAGTATATGATTAGGTAACAGAACAGAGTAGAAGATTAAGAAAACATCCATAAATTATTTTCTGATTTGTTTGCTTATAATGATAAAAGTGACATTTTCAAGGGATGACTGGTTAACCCTTTGAAAAGTAAAGTTAGATTTCTATTTATAAATGTTAAGAGGTCATGACTGAATATGAACAATCAAATCGTGGGAATAATAAGAATATGTAGGTGAAAATTTATATAACATTGAAATGAGAGAATGGCAGAATCTTTAAAGATTGCTAAGTATATAATGTTTTGACATAAGTAATTGAAAGGCAAATAATTAGGGGAAAAAAGATAGAAAAAGTGATAAATGAAGTCTTAAATTCAGTCCAGTAAAAAAAAAAAAAAATTGTATCTAGTAAAAAAATAATCACTCCAATAGGAAATGGGTAATAAATATGAAAAAAAGTAGTATCTAGTAGTTAAAACTACCAGATTCATAAGATGAAATTCAGTGTTGGTGAAACTGTAGGGGAACGTAAAATAGAATATAGCCTTTCCAGCAAGTATCAGATTTTCAAGTTGTGCACAGAATCATTCAGTGTCATCCTGTTATTCCCAGAATACAGATGAGACTAATGAACATGGCTTACAAAAATCTCGAAAGGTTGTGCCCTCGCTTCCTGTCAGTTTGAGCTCCCCTTAATTCCTGTTTTAACTAGGCTGCTCTTCCAGCCACAGAACTTTTAAAATAGCTGTTCTTTTGCTGCAAACATCTGCAGTTTCTTTTCCTTCTTTACCTCACTAACACTAATCACTCATCAGATCTCGGCATAAGTGCCAATTCTTTGGGAGGCTTTTCCTTGGAAGCACAGTTTATTACTTTGCCTTTAAAACTGTTGCAGTTTACATTTATTTCCTTGTTTCTCTCACTATATAGAATGGATGAAGTTGGGGAGAACCTGGAATTTAGTTCAGTCCTGGATAAGTGCCAGCAGAAGTTTGAAAGGATGTCATTCATGTGTGAGACTCAGCTTTCCAGATAATCATTGCATTGTTTGCAATAGGAAAAAAACAGAATTGGCAGACGTTCAGCAGAGTGACCTGTGGCACATTTGAACAGTTTGGATCCATGATTAGGGATGGCTGGTTTCAAGACTGATGCAATTATTCCATCCAGAAGAAGGGTCTGGATTTTAACCTGGGAGCTAAATAAATGAACTATCAAAGCTGGTAGAAATGCTCCATGGGTCAGAGCCTAATGCAGGTACAGGGTGGGGAGACAATGCAGCGATAATTATGAGGCTGATCAGTTTCATTTCTTTTGGGAGCTGGAGAGTAGAGAATTGGAGCTGTAGAATTCAGTGGGGATGGTCAGCATTGTGGGACCACCCCTCTGGAGGAAATGAGCAGGTCCCTGCCTCCTAGCAGCAGGCTGGGGCCTAAGGAGAAAGATCCTGGTTATAAACTCCTGTGAAGGGTTCTAAGAACACTGGAATGCATGAGCCACTGTTAATTATTTTTCCTGCATTGTTAATTCCCATGTGTTAGCCTCACATTCAGTAAGTCTTTGTCAAAAACTGCAACCTAGTGTCAGCCGTGTTTTGGATGATTTAGGAAGGGGCTGTGTCCATACTGGGGCCAGACGGTACCTAGGTGGCTGAGGTAATCAGACACTGGTCTCAAGGCCAGATGTTGACTAGTAACAACCAGGATATATGTTTCTGGAATATAAACACTTTTAGGACTTCTTACATTGCTATACATTACCGTAAAGACTAGATCTTCAGTGAGAGGATCAGATCATGTTAGGTGAGTAAAAGAAAAGGGTCATCTGGAGGGCTGGAGAATTGGAGACATTCATACCATACTTTGGTGACATAATTAGATGCCATAGCTTACCAGTATACTAACTAGTTTCTCTGGCTCTTTGTACCATCACTGTTGAAATAAGGCTTTGCAAATTACTGGGAGGAAAGGTCATATTTGGAGCCCCAAGTGTACAGTCCTAGTGGCAGTTTTGCTGTTGAAATAAGGCTTTGTAAATTAGTGGGAGGAAAGGTCGTATTTGGAGCCTCAAATGTACAGTCCCAGTGGCTGTTTTGCCTCACTGTTGAATGACTGTAATGTGATACATCAGTTTTTTTGAAGTCTGGTGTAAGTCATACCCTAAGGTCTATGGTATCTGGAATGGTGCTGCTGGATGTGCAGGACTGCCAAGCTCTGGCGTGTGGTGTTCTCATCTACCAGATCATTCCTGGGAGGCCCATTTTGGCCAGCTGGCTCACATCTGCGGGTGGTATTGCTAGCATTGCACATTGGAACTGCAACCTGGGAAAGTGATAAGAAACCTACCTCGTGGTGAGTACAAAGGATGTTTGTTGTATTTTATACACATTAATATTTTGGATGTTTTAATAGCTAAACATTTTAAAACAAAGCAAAATCAATAATAATCCTTTTTGAATATATTGTGAACAATGCAAGCCTTTTATTAAAAATTACTATGGAATATTCAAAAGAAAGGTTTTTTCTTACAGAGAGCAGAGAATAATTACTAAGGGTTCCTGTTTCAAAGCCTCTAGGACCCTTTTACTGTCCAGAATTCTTAGTAAGTGGAAAACATTTCCCAAGGATAATGAAGTCTCAGCCCTGATATGGGCAGGACAGCAAAAGACCTGTCTCTTTCCAGAGCAAACCTCAGTGGTTGCACCTGTCCTTCCATTACACTTTGGGGATAAACCCTGGAGGGGCCCTAGTTTAGGGGACCAATTTCATGGGCCTTCTTGACAAAGCTTACTTTCTTGATCCTGCTGCTAAATTCAGACCTTTCCTCCAATTGATCGTCTTTCCAAAATGAGCATAGCAACACCTGCACAAACCATTTCATGTGGTGCAGTAAGCTATTTCATCCAAGTGTTCCAAAGCCATAAGATGAACAAGTGGGAAAAACTTAGAGCTGTGTAGGATGTTTCCCAAGTTACTCTTTCACAGAGGATGTATGGGAGACAGGCTGCTATTGTGCCATCCTTTCCATTACATAGTGATAACAGCTGTTACTTGGAATGCTTTAAAACTTGGTATTATTTATGTTTAAGTATTTGCTGTATTCCTGGCTCTGTGCTAAATGCTATGCCTGCATCTTAAAAAATCCTTAAAATAAGTCAAGGCAGGTACCACTGTTACTTCTGTTTTCCAGATGGGGACACTAAGACTTTAAGAAGTTAAATAGCTCACCGAAAGACACACAGCTAGTAAGTAACACAATGGTGACCTGAACCCAAGTCTATTCTACTCTAGACCATGGACTCCAAAATTAATTATGCATATAAGGAATGTGGAGAGTTTAGCCTTGAACAAAGGGAGATGAGCTTGTTTTGTACCAACCCTTCTGCTGAGGAAAAGAGAAAACCTATCTATTTAGGCACCAGAGGCCTATTGAGAAAGCAAGGGCTAATATTCTGAGAGGTGAGACCTACATTTGTTACTATTCATTTCCCCCTCAAGGGACTTGCTAATTCAAGGGCAGGGGCTGAGAAACTGAGCAGAAGTTTTAGAAGACTAATGGAGAACAAAAATTAGAGTTGGGGATCTAAGTAGAAGTGGCCCTGGAAAACGCCCCAGGCTTTCTTTTGGGACCCCAAAGGGCTTCTCTTTGATTAAAGGTGAACTGGATATGGACCTGTCCTCACAAGGACTAAAGCCCAGCCTTAGATCTAGTGGATGGCCAGAAGCAAAAAGCACCTCTGAGGGAGGAGGACATGGTCTAATTTCTCAAATTTTCTCTATTAATTGTTGACAAATCCTGTTTAAAAATTAGGAATGCAAAAACACAATTTGACTAACATTGAGAAAGTGAACAATAGAAACAGATAGACCTCCAGGAAATTTAGATAGTTCACATTATCTGACGGGTACCTTACAGTAACTGATTAAAATGTTCATGAATTAAATGACCAAATGGAACAACTTCAGGAGAGAACTGGAAAATAATATAACAATTTAAGAAATCAGTAGATGGCTCTGATAGACACAACTTAAGAGACAGGTAATTACATGAAAGATAAGAAAATATCCAGACTGGTGCTGGGAGTAAATAGGGCAGACAACTATTCAAAGAGTCAAGGATGTCCCCAGATTGATGAAAGACATTAAGCCACATAAGTAAGAAATTCTGTTGACCTCTAAGCATGATAAGTTACAAAGAAAATTATACCTAATTATAGTAAAACTGAAAAAGACTAATTTTAAAAGTAGCCAGAGGAAAAGTATATATTACTATCAAAGGACCAATAGCAAGCCTTGATAGGGGAATTTCAGCAGAAGTAATGATAGAGAAAAATGGAATGGTGTCTTCAAAGTGTAAGGTTGGCTGAGAGAAAGGAGAATAGACCCGAAGTCAGGCAAGCAAGTTTTATTAACCTGCCAGGCTGCTCCATAACAATTAGAGGAGGCAGACCCGAGCTTACAAAATGAGTGATTTACATGGGGTGATAGGGGCATAAGGGAGTTTCAGGACTGAGGTATCTATCTACTGGTAATAGGCATAGAAATAGTTTGTCAACTTGTAACAGACCTACAATACATCTGTGACTTTTGTGGTGGCAGTTTTAAAAAAGAGAAACGAGGATTTTTTACAGATAATGTGTCAAACAGGAATTTACAAGTATGGATAACAAACATTTATTTTCTCTGTCCTCCCTCGAGCTGCCTGGATGGCTGTAATCAGGCTTTGCTTAATTGTAGCACACCTGGCAGCCTTAATGTGACACCTAGGTAGGGGTTCAGGAATGCAGCTGCAGAGCAATCAGAGTGGGGGGAAGGGGTCAGCTTGTGTGGAGGGAGTTTTCTAAGGCAGCTTGTTCCTAACACAAAGAACTTCAAGAAAATTAATAGCCAACCTAGAAGACCATCAGGTAAAACTATCCTTCCAAAGACACGTCCAGACAAAGGAAAATAGAATTTGCCACCAATGAAAAGTACCAGAAGTATGAAAGGAAAGTACTAAAGGGTGTTCTTGGAGCAGAAGGAAAACGATCACAAAACACAGCCTGGAGGTCCAGAAAGGATTTGAAAGGCAATGGAAAAGGTAAGTATGTGTATAAAACTAAATAAATATTGAATGAATGAAGCAACTTTTACTTTATGGGGTCTTAAATATATAAAGAACTAAAATACGTGACCAAAACACGTAAGTGTGGAGGGAGGTAAATGCAGTGGTCCTCAACCTTTCTGGTACCAGAGTTCATGGAAGATAACTTTTTCATGGTGGTGAGTGGAGGGGTAGAGGAAGTGGGAGGATAATGTTGGGGTAGAACTGTTCCACCTCAGACCATCAGGCATTAGATTGTCATAAGGAGTGCACAACCTAGATCCCTCATGCACAGTTCACAATAGGGTTTGCACTCCTATGAGAATCTCA